GTCGTAATAACATCATAGTTAAATAACGGGATCGTCAAAATCACGTGGAAAAGTATAGAAATAATTGGGGGGAAAAATTACTACTTATATTTATGCTGAACTCAGCACGAATAAAGCGTGTCAAATGCATGATTTAAAGTTTGCATGTTGTAATAGAGTAATTGGAATTTTTTATGATAAGTGGGAACGCATAGCAATAACTGCCGAAAAAAATTATTGAAAAAAAGAAAGAATTGCAAAAAAAAGATAAAAAATCACTTAGATTTAAGATGAAATCGTAACAAATAAAGTGCACCAAAAAGTGATTATTTAAATGGGCGATCTGAAACTCGCGTTGTAGTAAAAATTCGGGATTTTCGAAATCACGTAGAAAAGAGGAAATAACTGCTTAAAAAAAATCATTTGTATTTGCGATAAAATCGACTTAAAGAAAGTGCGTTAAACGTACATTTACTAAAGAATCTGTTAAAATTGATTGTGTCAAAACGTGATGACTTACAAGTGCAATTAAAAATTGCCATTTTTAAATTTTTTTTTTATTGTGTTTAGAATCTCTCGCGGGCCGCACTTCAGTAGTTGAAGGGCCGCAGGTTGTGCACCCCTAGTCTAAGCTAAGAACTCCTCCCGCCACAAAGTCTGAGGCCGTCTGGTGCTATGGAAACAGGGTAGCTTTACTCTATGACTAACACAATGGACTAAAGGGAGAAATTCCCTTTCTCTCGTCGACCTGAGCCGAATCCACACTTTTAATATCGCCCAAATTAAGTATTCATAATCATTCTAAACATTATAATTTACTTTTTGCACCGACGAGAGTACAATGTAGTGAAAAATATGTTAAATTTTTTTTTTTGAATGTAACTTTTAAATTTATATTTCGGAAATATATATAGGAATTTCACCTTACTGTTACATTTTTATCAGAGTAATTAGTCTGAAATTATAGTACAATTTTTCAATTTGTTGGATTACTCTTGACAAACTTACAGTTTATATCTTATCATTTGACATTTTACAATGTTTGAGTCACTTTCGAAACTTATCTTCAAAAAGTTACACGAGGTAATTAGCTAAACTTTTTTTTGATGTCTTCTTTGATGTCTTCTTTTGAAAAAACCTGCCCCATTTTGCTCATATTGCAAAGGTGGACTAAATATACCCAAAAACAAAAATTATGTTTTTTTTTCTTCATGTTTTCCCGTTATTTTGTAATATTACTTCGGAAATATAATTTGTTTTTCATTTTTAATATAAAATAACGAAAATTATTTAATTTTCATTGCCATATTTAATTATTTTAACGTATTATAATATTTTTTAAAATTTTTGCTCACTATATTTCAGCCGCCATTTTTTTTGTTTTGTTTTTTTGTGTGATATTTTTAGTGTATTTCAAAATTTCAACTATGAATTCAATTTACCTGCACATAAAAACCCCCAAATTTTGAAACAAATTTTATTGAAATGCTAATTTTGGCCACGAAACCTTGGATGCTGGCCCACTGTGGGAGGGTACAAAAAGAATAAAAGAAATTCTCTCTAGGGAAAGAACCTTTCTTGCAAAATGATGCTTGTATTTTGTATTTATCAATTATGAGACCAAAGAAAAATACGCTCAGTTGAAGAAAGTGGGTAAAACCTATTTTGTTTCAATATGTTGCAGTTTAAGGCTTCCATTTCAATCTTTTTTTTTTATTTGATTGAAATAAGGTGTATGTCTCTAAAGTAGTGGTTGTTTTTGATGAGGAACTATTTTTATAATGTGAGATGTTTGTAGCTGAGTATGCCTGTTTACCCTAAGATAACGCTCCAAATTAACAAGGAGCCATTTTATAAATTTTATTTGAAGGAAAATTACTTGTTTCCATGACTCTGACCAGCTTTTCTGACTAGACATATTAATTTTTTTTCCCTTTCAAAAATGAAAATGTTAGAAATATAAATAACATTATGGCATTAAACACATATAGGAATTGAAAGTGCGTGTTAGATTAAATGAGGTCAAATGGGGGGTTCTCATGGTTTGCTCATTGGGTAAAGGGGGGGGGAGTTGCTCATGGGGTAAAGTGGGGTTATATTGAAAAATACTTATTTTCTCTTTTTACATTAAGATTTTTAGTTTTATCTTCTTTCTTGACATATAATGAGATTCAGAGAAACATTTTAGTTTTAGAACTCATCATATTACATGCTTCTTCTAAGTTATAAAAATGCTTTAAACTACTTCTGATAATGATTTTTGCGTTCTGTTTTATGTAACAAATATGGGAGAAATATTAGACTTTCCTTGCTTGCTGTGATAACAATATCCAAGACAGGGGAAATTGGGGGTTTCAAAATATGTCATTTTAATTACATTACTGTAAAAGAGAAACTAATAAAATAGTATGATAGTGCTTTATATTTAATCTATAATGCATATAAGAGCCGGCCGAGTGGTTAGCGTGCCTGACTGCAAAGCCAATGACTACGGGTTCGAATCCCTCTCTGGACATGGATGTTTTTTTCTCTCTGTGTTGTCTTCTGATGTATGAATGTGGCCCACCCTATGAACGGGTATTTGTGGCAGTGTGGCGTGGGTAATGTTGCTCGCCTCCGTAACTTTAGTTCACAGGTGCCCACTGGGTAACAATAAATGAGCAACATTTCCGGCATCTTCTAAGGCGAAGAAGGAAAGTTCAGTGCCTGCCGTTATTAAAAATAAATAAAAATAATGCATATAAAATGCATCAAACATTTCTTTAAATTAAATGCAGCAATTTGGTTATAAAGCCTTCTCTAAAAGATTTTTTATATTTTCCCCCCAACTGACTCTTAATCAAATATTAATAAATAACAATCTCCTTTTAATATAGAAAAAGATCCATTATTGGATATTTATTGAAATTGAGCTTCATCGAAGATCAAAACAACGTAGCCAAATAAAGGAACACTGTATATTCAAATAATTTAGCAAAAGATAAATGCCCAAAAGATGTAACAAAATGGTGACAAACATAAAACAAATATGGATTTTTATGCTGAATGTGTTAATTTGACACATGTTTTTTAGCGACTACATTGAAGTTAACTGTTAAATTTATTAGGATGAAGATAAGAGAGTTGAATAAAAATTTCTGAAGTAAAGGAAATTATTAAGGTAAGAATTTTTTATTGTGCCTATTAATGGCATGACAGTGCCTACCACAAATTGTTAGCAATTATAATTATATAATCTTAATTGTAAGAAATGACTGTAACAATCAAGGGAAAATAGTATTTTAAAAAAATGTATCGCTGATAAAATTGCGGAGCTCTAGAAAGTATTCTTAATCATTTTCCTAATGCATTATTTTAGTTTTTTATTTGATATGCATTTCCTCTTTTTCTTTTTTGAAATTTTTTTCCTAGTAACTAATTTTTTTTTTTTAGGGATGCTGATTGGTATGCGAGAGAAGCTTATTTAGAACTCCATAGAAGAGAAAAGCTTGGCTTACCTTTAATTGATAAAAATTTAGTCGATACTGAAAAAATAGAATTACCTTCAGATGATGAATTGGGTGATACTGAAATTATAATTTAAATTAAATAATTGAGAAGGAATCTTTTATTTCTGTAATATATGATAATTTGTTTTGTAGTATCTAGTTTTGAATCAATAAAAAGTTACATGGAATTGGTTTTCAAACTGTGTTATAAAAAATAACAAGCATTTTTATTGTTTTCTGCATTGTATCAAAATATGTATATCCGTAGAGTTTTGATTATTTAAATATTTTCGATTTTTATAAAATTTGACTTTTCAGTTAATCGGATTCAAGTTTAAAAGAACTATCCCTTCCTCCTCTAACCTCCCTTAACAATAAGAACCTCCCTTTCTAAAAATACTTTAAAGAGATATGAAGGGTGTTTTAAAACTCGTTTGTAAAAATTAAAGAGATGATAGAAAACGTCTAAAAAGCAATTTTTACCATACAATGTATTGGCGGAGAGCAAATAGTAGGGAATCATTAGGAGATATTCGTTACTGTCACATGTAAGAATGCGACACCAAGCTGATAGCGGAATTATTAGTTAATTTTATTGACAGAAACTGCAAAAGAAGTAGTAGTACAGATGTAACTGTGACTTAGCGTCAAGTTAATTTAGGACCTCCTCTTACTGTTTGGTGTTTCATTCTTCTGAGACAGTAATGGACAATGCATTCACCATACAATGCATTCCATCCATGCATTATAAGGTGAAAGTTGCTTGTTGAAATGCTTACTATTACCCCTTAGATTTGTGCCTATGAATTTTCAAACACTCTGTGGAGTTAGTTCTGAGAGCTAGATTTCCATTTATGGTAGTATGTTTTTAATTATATAATTGAGATTATCTTAATCACTGTAATATTTAAGTTATAAATGCAATAAATTTTATCTCTATAATTTGGTAATAAAATAATATCACCATAAATGTTGACAATGAAATACTACTTGAAATGTTATCATTGTTAAAAACCTGAAATACGTTGACTTCGAATTGTAAATTTAAGTTTTATGTATTTTTAATTGGTTGATATTTTTTCTTTTTTTAAATATTAATCTCTTAAATTCTTATTTCTTAACACGTTGAAGAAATGGGGAAATAAAGCTATTTTATTGGAATATTGTGTTTTTTTTCCTTTGCATTTCATTGTTATAATAGTGAGAAAAGCAGCACCATGGAAGAAATTGTTTTTAATCTCTTTCATTATCTGTATTGACAATCAGAACAAAATAATAAGTGTGGTTTGTCTGCTAGGTTGACTGCAGTGCAATGATGGTGAAAATGCAAGCATTTTAGAGCAGTAGAAATAAAATTTAAATTACAGGGAATTAATTTCATTTGTTGAATTAAACAATTTGACAGTTGTGGTGCAAAGAGTATTTAGGGTAGTTCAAATATTCAAAACGAGTTTGCATTAGTCTTTAAAATGCTATTTTCAATTTCATCAATGTAGAGGAGACCAAATTTTTTTAACCCTTAATGGTCTGAAAATATTTGAAGTCACTTATATGGCTGCATTGGTCTGTTAAATGTTAATTATGATTTGTTTCTTTTTATTTGCACTTAGTCTGCCTTCTGATAAATTTATTTCAGAGCTTTTGTTTTCTAACTTTCAGCACACTGTAGTTAGCCACCTTCTTGCCTAATATATTAATGTATTAAACATGAAAAATATTTCTAAGTCTGAAACTTAGTGATGTAAGTAAAATCAGTTAGTCATAGACGTTACTGTAAGGAAAGTAATTTTAAAGTGTTGATGAACTAAAGGAAAACCTTTATTAAAAAATGAAATGTTTACCTTTTGAATGATTTAACTCAGTGGACATTACGAAATAATACTTTTCACATACTTTTTTTTTAGAATGTACAATGAGTACCTGTAACAAAAACACAGTTTGAAAGATTTTTTTTCTATATTTAAAAGAAAAGGTCAAATAATATTTTAAGCCCTAAATTGAAAGTAACTAAGCCATTTAAAAGTAATTTGCAGCATAAATTGAAATTGTTTTTTTTTAACTATTGATGTTTTCAACAAATAATTCAAAAACATTCACTTTTGTTCAATAAATATGCTAACATTATAAAAAGAACAATAGCTGAATAATTTAAATATGTTTATATAATAACTCCACTCAACATACAAATATGCAGTGAGCATCTCGATGTTATTTTAGTAATGTTTGCTCCCTCTGTTTATCTGTAATGATAAATGTATTATTATTTAGCAGTATACAATTTAAAAAAAATTTTATTTTTTGAATCACTACTAATTTTAATGTGAAATATTTATGGCAACGTATCTTTTTAATAAAAAAATATTTGAAAGTAATGGAATGATGAAAAAGAATTATGATAATTGGGCGTCATGTAAAATATTTAAGGTATATTTTAGTAATTATGGTTTAATAGTAAAAATGAAATAGTTTTTTTTTTTCATTTACTTTAACAAAATTGGTTTTCAAAGTTCACATATAAAATAGTAAAAGTATGGTTTACTAATAAAGAATACTTTTTTCAAAAATGTATTAAAGGTATTTAAAAAATGTCACAAAATGGAGCTTTATGTTTAACAATATGTCTGTTATTAAAATGCAGCTTTAAATAAAGTAATATACAATGAAAATATTTTGTTAAAATGTTTTCTTTTTAAATAAAAAAAATACATTTTAAAAATTTACAATTGTGAATAAAAACATAAAATATGTGCAATTCAAATTTGTTTGCCCTGATAACAGAAAATTCTAAAGGAGGAACTGAAAATAAAATATATAATTAAGTAAAAGTCTTATTTATACTTCCGATTGTAGACGCATATTGTACAGTGCAGAAAGAAAAAAAAAACAATGCTCTCAATAACTTTTGATCTAATGATTGGATCTTCACAGTCAAGACTCAATCTTAATGGCTGAGAAGGCCTCAAATATGCTAACTAATTAGTACAGATAATTTTTAAGTTATGAAATCAGACACAAAAACGTACTTCCTCTGAATAAATATATTTTTTTGTTGTTGTCAGATTCTATTTTCTGACCCCTAAAATATGATCCCAATAGTTTGGTCAGGAGAGAGGTAGAAAGTTTAGACCCCTTAATGTAAATTTTATTTTTTATGTACTAGAACGATAGAACTTTTTAAGCCAATTGAAAATTTTTTACGCACAATCATAAAATTTGTTTATTCAAAGATAATTTCATACAAAAAATAATTTTTAGTAAATATTTATTATTTTATTTAATAACAGTCGGAATAAATTTGAATTGTAAAGTATGTAATTTTTTACCTCATTTTAATCAATATACCCCCAGAGGTATGATTTGTTATGGGAACTTGGAGGACTTTGTGACTCGACAAATTTAACGTGCATCAGTCACTATTTACTACACAGAGAGTCTCCGACCTTTTGGGCATGGATCCAGTGCCCTATCAACGAGGCTAAATATATAAAAAAAAATTCTTTTTCGATCAACTTATCATATGTTTATAATAGTACTTAGTAATAACATTTCTAGACAAATTTGACTGATTTCAATGGCCAACATACTAGATGGACAGGTGGCCAAGTTACAAAGATTTGAGCCTTTTTATTATATAGGATAAATTCCGTTTTTAATAATGAAGGTTAACTTAAACAGTAGGTGGTCTACTTGTGAGTTTTCACTGAAATTAATTTTAAATAATGTCGCATTTTTTTATATGTTTTACGTTTCTACAACTATTTGTTTGTTTCTGTTGAAATTTAGCATTTTGTCTTTGAAAATTATACTTAGTTTTAAATGAGATGAACATTTTTAAACCTTACTGTTCAAAAATCTATTGATGACTGAAAAATAAATAATAAAAAGGGGTAATTAGTTTTTAAATATTTTACTTGAAGAATTAAAATTCTGTTATAGAATTAAAAAATGAAAAATATGTAAAAAAAACTTTTTTTTAATATGGAATTATTTTTAGATGAACGAGGTTTATGATTGTGTGGAGAATGGACACACACCATTCCTTCATTTGTATTTTACTGGTGTGAAAATTTTTGCACATCTTTTTGATATTAAATATTTTTTTTGTTGAATGTGTAATGGGAAATTTACAGATCGGATTAATAGGCTGGTTCAAGTTCTTAGTCCGAAGCTATTGAAAGCTTTTGTGCTATCAGTTTATATTTATATAAAAGAACAATTAAATCATAAATTAGTTGAATTATGTAAATATGCTTGCAAGTCAAACATTTACATAAAAAGAGTAGTTTTTGCGTTCAACTTTAGGTTATAATTTTGTTTTGCTGCGCAAAAACTATTGGACTTAACAGCTTATGTAAGTAAAAAAAAAAAAATTACAGAGAGCACGATAGAATAAAAAAAATCAACATTTGATATTTAATTTGAGAATTCTTATAAACATATTTAAGGTTAGGTCCTCTAACCATTAAAATTGAGTGTTATACTTTAAAAATCTGGTCCTTGGATCAAAAGTTATAGAAATAGTTTTTATTTTGCGCACTGTTGTATTTAATTGTCATTAAAAGTAGGTCGAACATAACAGTCATTAATTTGAAAAGTGTTAGCTCGCAAGTTGCATAACCAAGCCGAATAAATTCGGTATTTATGTTAATTGATATTTCTTTTAACGTGTTAATTTTCTCGTATTTTTTTTAAAAAAATATATCTTTAATATTCATAAACTTCTTTTTTAAGTAAGAAATAAATAATTAAGATGGGTTTATCTCTATACAGTATAGTCTGAAACTAAACTTCAGATTTTCTTATGAAATTTAAAAAACCGTCGTTAGGGTGTGATAGCTTTTAGTGTTAGAGAGTGTTAAACATGTAAAAAATGCTGGAATTAGAAGAAAAATATAAATCAATTGTTTGAGAATTGAATTTTATTTTAATTTTAAACCATAATCCTTGAACAGCCGATCCGAAAGAGAATTGTTTTTCGTTACTGACAACTTAAAATTTGCCGACGATGATTAAAATTGCCAATATTGGGTGGGCGAGACGCTTTCCCCCAGTATCTATGCAGCCCCAAAGAGTATGATCTAACTTGTCAGCACGTGAGCAAATATCTTTGTAAAGATAGTCAAGTACTGCAACAAACAATAACACGGGGGATTAAATTTTTTCTTGCATTCCTGCAAATACTTGATCTTACCTGATTCGGATATAAGGATTTCAAATCTAAAATAAGCTTTGTTCCGGAAGTTACTGATTGTTTTAAAAATAGTATTTTTACTTTTGTTTGAATGTATAAGTTTAGGTAGAACGTATAGGTTTATATAGATACATACATACACTTGTTTGCTCCTTTTTTTAATTTTACCGAATTTTCCGCTTACCAGACGACCGAATTTTTAGCTTACGACCACCAATGTTCTACTCCGTATCCTTGTAGTTTTGAACCCAATCCAGAAGACAAGAGAACTCCTGGATCAAGTATTGGGAGAAGTTTGCCTTCGCAGAGGACTTTTGTGCTGGAACTAACCCGCTTTTGCGTTGTATGGAGAGAGAAACCACGAAAACCTCCCACGGTTAGCCTAACGGCAAGAGGACTCTAACCCATTATTCGTCTACCACTGCGGATATTTTATGTCAGCACTGTGGTCAGTGCGAGCCGGGTGCGGGATTCGAATCTACCAGCCTTTGGCGGGATTCGAACCCAGTTCACCTATCATTGGGAGGCGAGCGATGTATCCCCTGAGACATATCGCGAAAAACCTTTGACATTAAAATATCGTATAATAAAATTAAACGCATTATCGCCTTCTTCCTACCATGCCTTACGTACCAGAGAAGTGGGGACAGGTAGTACTGACTCGAATGAATTTTAAAAAATCCTGGAGCAAAGCTTACATTATTAACTGTATAGCTTGTAATGTCTCATGCACAAAAAAACGAGGTAAGAAAATTTTTCTCTAGTGGAATTCTTGAAATTTATTTAAATTATAATTATTGTTACCTTTTAAAAATCTTTTTATAGTACCCACTAATTAGCAAAATTTTATGTAATCAATGAATGTATTTAGAATATTTCCACTGGTTTTAGGAAAATGTAATGGTGATTGTAAATTTACTTTAATACAGAGCTGTTTGTATCCGGAAAAGAAGAAAACTGGTTGTCAAAT